GGGGCGCAGCAGAGAAAGATGAAGTTTTTGCTACTCTGGAATTTATAAAAACAAAACAATCTTAAAATCAGAAAGCTGCAGGCTCTCCACCCCTGTATGGTATTTTTTATCTATAATCATCACCCTTTGAGAGAGAAAGAAGAATGGTGTCTATGATGATTTTATGTGACTGGTAAAGTGATGAATAAAGGCAAGAAGTCAATATAGGTTCCTGGCTCTATCTGGTAACTAAAGATATTTGGGTACACAGTGGTAAATAAAGGCCAGTGGGAGAAGAGAGAAGACAAGAGAGAGAACTGAGAGAAAATAGAAGGGAAGAATCTTATGAGCACTAAAACCCAGGATAACCTCCCTACTCAGAAAATAGTAACAACTCAAGACTGCTAAGACTGAGACAAAGAGAAAAACTAAAGAATCCAGACAAACTGAAAAGAATATCCCAATGTTACGCCTATACAGAGTAAGACTCACACATTCAATAAACTTTATTGGGCACTTCCCGTAGTTACTGTTTCATGACACAAATAGGACAATGAACACTCAAAGACCCAACCCAAGAACTAAAACATTACCAGTGACTTACATCTATCTGCCTCCTCTTGGGAGATAATCATTATCCTGAAATTTCAGTTCTTATTCCCTTGCTTTTCTTTCTTTAGTTTGAGTTTGAGATGATTCTAACATCTACTGCTACAGTATTGCTTTGAACAACTCGCATACACATTTTTTTCTTTTTTCTTTTTTTTTTTTTTTTTTTGAGACAGAGTCTCTCACTATGTTGCCCTCGGCAGAGTGCTGTGGCATTACAGCTCACAGCAACCTCAAACTCTTGGGCTTAAGAGATTCGCTTGCCTCAGCCTCCCAAGCAGCTGGGACTACAGGTGCCTGCCACAATGCCCGGCTATTTCTTTTGTTGCAGTTGTCACTGTTGTTTAGCAAGCCTGGGCCGGGTTCAAATCTGCCTGCTTTGATGCTATGTGGCTGGCACCCTAACCACTGAACTACGGGCGCCAAGCCCACATACACATCTTTGGATGCACACATGCAGGAATTAAAATGCTGGATCAAAGGGATAAAACCAGTCAGATTTATAAAGTAACACTAAATTGTTTTCCAAAATGTACAAATTTATATCCCCATAGGCAATAAAGGAGAACTTTTGAACTACAACTTTTGGTATAATCA